AAGCTGTGGCTGCCCCATCCCTGGCAGTGTTGAAGGGCAGGTTGGATGGGGCTTGGAGCAGCCTGGGCTGGTGGGAGGTGTCCCTGCCCATGCAGGGGTGGGACTGGATGATCTTTCAGGTCCCTCCCAACCCAAACCATCCCATGGTGCTGTTTCCATGTGGAGAGCAGCACTGCCTGCTGCAGGCCTCTTGGAGGAAGTGGGGGGTGTTTCTCTGCCTGCAGGAGCCTGAGCTTTCCTCAGAGAGCCTCCTCAGCCCTGACAGCCTGTGCCCCTGTGTGTTGCAGAGGAGTACACCTGCCTGTGGCAGGGGGGGGGCTTCTTTTCCCCCCACAACGCACCCGCACGTTTACTTCCACTGCTACCACACCAAGCTGAAGCAGTGGGGGCTGCGGGCCCTGCAGAGCCAGCCTGACCTCAGCCACTGCCAGCTGGACTTCCAGAGCAGGAATATCATCCCGGAGATCCAGGAGAACTTCCTGTGTCTGTGGGAGTACTGCGAGGTGAGAACGGGGCTTCCTGCTTGCTTTTCTCCTCGCTGTTCTCTCCTGTCCTGCAGCTCCCCTGCCTGTTGGCTGCCTTTGGACCTCTGGGGAAGTGTCTGTTGTGTTGTGGCTGGACACCAGCTGGTGCAGATCTCCTCACCCTCTCCTTGCCTTGCTTCCCAACAGAGATCCTTTGACAACCCTGAGTGGTTCTACCGGCACGTGGAGGATCACAGCTTCTGCTCGGAGTACAAGGCAGCAGGGAAGGAGAACCATGTGGTGCTGTGTGGCTGGAAAGGTGAGTGGGGACGTGCAGGACCTCTCTGGAGAGCTTTGCACAGGGTTGGGTTGTGAGCAGGAGAGCTCTGCACCCCTTGGTAGGGTCTGAGAGAGTCACCTCAGCTTCAAAAAATACACGTGTATGGTCCTAACAGTGAAAGCGTGGAATGCCAGGTGGGAGTGACCTCAAGGATCATCTGGTCCAGCCTTTCTAGATAAAACTGGTTTGGGTTGGAAGGGACTTAAAGATCATCCAGATCCAACCCCCTGCATGGGCAGGGACACCTCCCACCAGCCCAGGCTGCTCCAAGCCCCATCCAACCTGCCCTTCAACACTGCCAGGGATGGGGCAGCCACAGCTTCCCTGGGCAACCTGGGCCAGGCTCTCACCACCCTCACACTCCACAATTCCCTCCTCATCTCTCACCTCAATCTCCCTCTTCCAGTTTTCATCCCTTCCCCCTTGTCCTCTCCCTCCCTGCCCTTGTCCCAAGTCCCTCCCCAGCTTTCCTGGAGCCCCTTCAGGCACTGGAAGGTGCTCTAAGGTCTCCCTGGAGCCTTCTCTTCTCCAGGCTGAACAAACCCCGAATGTTCCTGTAGAATTTCTTCAGGGTGCTTAACATTGAGCCTTTCATTTATATTTCATTAGTACCTAGAAGGAAAGGCCCCAGTTTATTCCTTTCAACCATTTCCCTCCCCTGTCTCCTTGCAAGGGGGGCTCCACACAAGCTGCCCCCCTGCTTGGTGGGAGTTCCTGGAGCAGCCAGGTGATCCTGGCATGTTCCAAACTCAGTTGGGTTGTGGGTGGTGGCCCCTGAGTGAAGGATCTTCATGTCCTTGTGTCTGTGCTCCCTGTCAGACTGTGACTGCAGCTTCAAGGGGCGCTGCAAACTGCGGGAGCACCTGCGCAGCCACACGCAGGAGAAGGTGGTGGCCTGTCCCACCTGTGGGGGGATGTTTGCCAACAACACCAAGTTCTTCGACCACATCCGCCGTCAGACTGCGCTGGAACGTGAGTTCCCCTGGGCAGGGGAGGGGTTGGGAGTTGTTGGGAAGTTGGAGCAGGTCTCTGGGTGGGATGTTTGGGCTGATCGAGCTGCCCGGGCCAGCGCGGGCACAGGTGGGGTTGGAAAGCAGCCTGGCTGCTCCCCATGGTGGTGGAGTCCCCATCCTTGGAGGGGTTTAAAGGACATGTAGATGTGGTGCTGAGGGGCCTGGGTTAGTGGTGGCCTTGGCAGGGCTGGGGGAAGGGTTGGACTGGAAGATCTGAAAGGTCTTTTCCAACCAAAATGATTCTGTGATTCTGTGACTGCAGTTGGAAAAGACCTCTCAGATCACCTACCCGGGGTGAGGGGGAGGAGCACAACCCACCCAAACAAAGGACAACAATAAAACAAACCCCACAACCACACCCTACAAAACCAGCACCATCACACAACCCACAAAAACCCACCCCCCATGCCCACTAGAGCAAGCCCTGAAGTGTCACATCTGCATGTTTCTTGAATGACCCCAGGGATGGTGACTTCACCACCTTCCTGGGCAGCCTGGGCCAGAGCCTGACTGCTCTTTCAGTAAAGAAATTCTTCCCAATCTCTAGTCTAAACCTCTCCTGGGGCAACTTCAGGCCAATTCCTCTAGTCCTGGTGTTACTCACTTGGGAGAAGAGACCAACACCCACCTCACTCCAGCCTCCTCTCAGGGAGCTGTAGAGATCAGTGAGGTTTCCCCTCAGCCTCCTCTTCTCCAAACTAAACAATCCCAGTTCCCTCAGCCTTCCCTCACAGGATTTGTTCTCAAAACCCTTTCCCAGCCTGGTTGCTCCTCTGCTGGGGCACTCAGACATGGATGGACCTTTGGGAAGTGTCTCCTTGCAGAGGCAAGAGGGTTGGAGGCTGCACAGGGCTCACCCCACTGCAGCCAGAACTGTTGCTCCTGGAAGGAGGAGCCCAGGACTGAAATCAAAAGTCTGGGCACTTGCTGCAGCACTGGGGCTTGTTTGGTGAGTTCCCTGGTGCTACTGCTCCTGTGTGGTGGGTGCTGCCCAGCTCCTGCACTGGCAGCACAAGGGAACTGTGTGGAGAGGAGGCAAATTGGTCTTTGCAAGTGATTGTTTTGGTTTGGCTTTGTAGTCGGTGCCTATCTCTGGAGAGAAGGTTTCCAACTCTGCTGGAACTCCCTCTTCTCCACCCTTGCTGCTCTCTGTGCCCTTCTCCCTGCTCTGATCTCCCCTCTCACCACCCTCTCCCCTCTCCCTGCTGCAGAGCAGAGGTTCCAGTGCTCCCACTGCTCCAAGAGGTTTGCCACAGAGAGGCTGCTCCGGGACCACATGAGGAACCACGGTGAGTGAAGTGCCCCTTCCCCCAGCTCAGCTCTGAAGAGCTGGTGCTCTCCTTGCTCTGTGGTGATGTGTCCCACCCGTTCTTGGCCACAGTGAACCACTACAAGTGTCCCCTGTGTGACATGACCTGCCCCCTGCCCTCCTCCCTCCGCAATCACATCCGTTTTCGGCACAGCGAGGAGCGCCCGTTCAAGTGTGACTACTGTGACTACAGGTGAGGTCCAAAGCTTTCCACCTTCCCAGGCTGGTGCTGGAGGAGGACCTAGGGGCACACCCCTGTGTGAGCTGCCCCGTTTGCTCAGCTTTGGTTCCTGATCATTCCTTTGCAGCTGCAAGAATCTCATCGACCTGAGGAAGCACCTGGACACGCACAGCAAAGAGCCCGCCTATCGCTGCGAGTTTGAGGCCTGCAGCTTCACTGCACGTTCCCTCTGCTCCATCAAGCTCCACTACCGGAAGGTCCACGAGGTGAGAAGGAGGCAAAGGGCTGTTCTGCTCTGTTCTCTCTGCCACTGGGGCTGAGAACCACTAGGTGCTGCACAGAAGCGTGAGGAAAAAAGCTCAAGTCGTGTGAAGTGCCCCAGGGTTGTGGGAGTGTGAGGTCAGGTTGAGTTCCTCTCTCCTGATGTGTCCTGTCAGGCTTCTCAGAGAACCTGGTTCCTCCTCCCATGCCTCTGTGTGAGTTCCAGGCCCTCTGGTCAAGCTCATGGGGCATTCACATCCCTTTCTTTGCCCTTCAGGGTGACTCAGAGCCCCGGTACAAGTGCCACGTCTGTGACAAGTGCTTCACACGTGGGAACAACCTCACTGTCCACCTCAGGAAGAAACACCAGTTCAAGTGGCCCTCAGGGCATCCTCGCTTCAGGTACTGCCTGTCCTGAACCCCTCCAGTGCCAAAGGCACAGCAGGGCTGGATGGCAGCTCCAGCAGCTGGGCAGAGATTAGGGACAAGGGCAGCAGTGGTGCCAGCACAGCTACATCTGGTGGGGCTCTTCTGAGTTTGGCAGGGGGCTGCTCCAGGTGGACCACTCTAGAGAGAGAAGCTTTCTCTAGGAAACTCCAAAGGGTTTCCAGAGCCTGAAAGCTGGGAGGGGAAGGGGATGGACTAAAACTGCTCCCAGTGAAACAGTGGTGAAAGGAGGTGGGGCTTGGGAGGTGACAGAGGCCTGGCAAAAAGCTCAGGAGCTGGTGGGTGGACTTTTAGGGGTAGGGGCTGAAGAGGTTTTATCCTAGATACCACTGAGCTTTGCAACCTAGAATATAGAGCCCTGTCCTTGGCTGCTGCTTCAGGCTGCTGCTTCAGGCTGGTGCCCGTCCCTTTGTTAACATTGAGCCTTTCATTTATATTTCATTAGTACCTAGAAGGAAAGGCCCCAGTTTATTCCTTTCAACCATTTCCCTCCCCTGTCTCCTTGCAAAGGGGGCTCCACACAAGCTGCCCCCCTGCTTGGTGGGAGTTCCTGGAGCAGCCAGGTGATCCTGGCATGTTCCAAACTCAGTTGGGTTGTGGGTGGTGGCCCCTGAGTGAAGGATCTTCATGTCCTTGTGTCTGTGCTCCCTGTCAGACTGTGACTGCAGCTTCAAGGGGCGCTGCAAACTGCGGGAGCACCTGCGCAGCCACACGCAGGAGAAGGTGGTGGCCTGTCCCACCTGTGGGGGGATGTTTGCCAACAACACCAAGTTCTTCGACCACATCCGCCGTCAGACTGCGCTGGAACGTGAGTTCCCCTGGGCAGGGGAGGGGTTGGGAGTTGTTGGGAAGTTGGAGCAGGTCTCTGGGTGGGATGTTTGGGCTGATCGAGCTGCCCGGGCCAGCGCGGGCACAGGTGGGGTTGGAAAGCAGCCTGGCTGCTCCCCATGGTGGTGGAGTCCCCATCCTTGGAGGGGTTTAAAGGACATGTAGATGTGGTGCTGAGGGGCCTGGGTTAGTGGTGGCCTTGGCAGGGCTGGGGGAAGGGTTGGACTGGAAGATCTGAAAGGTCTTTTCCAACCAAAATGATTCTGTGATTCTGTGACTGCAGTTGGAAAAGACCTCTCAGATCACCTACCCGGGGTGAGGGGGAGGAGCACAACCCACCCAAACAAAGGACAACAATAAAACAAACCCCACAACCACACCCTACAAAACCAGCACCATCACACAACCCACAAAAACCCACCCCCCATGCCCACTAGAGCAAGCCCTGAAGTGTCACATCTGCATGTTTCTTGAATGACCCCAGGGATGGTGACTTCACCACCTTCCTGGGCAGCCTGGGCCAGAGCCTGACTGCTCTTTCAGTAAAGAAATTCTTCCCAATCTCTAGTCTAAACCTCTCCTGGGGCAACTTCAGGCCAATTCCTCTAGTCCTGGTGTTACTCACTTGGGAGAAGAGACCAACACCCACCTCACTCCAGCCTCCTCTCAGGGAGCTGTAGAGATCAGTGAGGTTTCCCCTCAGCCTCCTCTTCTCCAAACTAAACAATCCCAGTTCCCTCAGCCTCCCCTCACAGGATTTGTTCTCAAAACCCTTTCCCAGCCTGGTTGCTCCTCTGCTGGGGCACTCAGACATGGATGGACCTTTGGGAAGTGTCTCCTTGCAGAGGCAAGAGGGTTGGAGGCTGCACAGGGCTCACCCCACTGCAGCCAGAACTGTTGCTCCTGGAAGGAGGAGCCCAGGACTGAAATCAAAAGTCTGGGCACTTGCTGCAGCACTGGGGCTTGTTTGGTGAGTTCCCTGGTGCTACTGCTCCTGTGTGGTGGGTGCTGCCCAGCTCCTGCACTGGCAGCACAAGGGAACTGTGTGGAGAGGAGGCAAATTGGTCTTTGCAAGTGATTGTTTTGGTTTGGCTTTGTAGTCGGTGCCTATCTCTGGAGAGAAGGTTTCCAACTCTGCTGGAACTCCCTCTTCTCCACCCTTGCTGCTCTCTGTGCCCTTCTCCCTGCTCTGATCTCCCCTCTCACCACCCTCTCCCCTCTCCCTGCTGCAGAGCAGAGGTTCCAGTGCTCCCACTGCTCCAAGAGGTTTGCCACAGAGAGGCTGCTCCGGGACCACATGAGGAACCACGGTGAGTGAAGTGCCCCTTCCCCCAGCTCAGCTCTGAAGAGCTGGTGCTCTCCTTGCTCTGTGGTGATGTGTCCCACCCGTTCTTGGCCACAGTGAACCACTACAAGTGTCCCCTGTGTGACATGACCTGCCCCCTGCCCTCCTCCCTCCGCAATCACATCCGTTTTCGGCACAGCGAGGAGCGCCCGTTCAAGTGTGACTACTGTGACTACAGGTGAGGTCCAAAGCTTTCCACCTTCCCAGGCTGGTGCTGGAGGAGGACCTAGGGGCACACCCCTGTGTGAGCTGCCCCGTTTGCTCAGCTTTGGTTCCTGATCATTCCTTTGCAGCTGCAAGAATCTCATCGACCTGAGGAAGCACCTGGACACGCACAGCAAAGAGCCCGCCTATCGCTGCGAGTTTGAGGCCTGCAGCTTCACTGCACGTTCCCTCTGCTCCATCAAGCTCCACTACCGGAAGGTCCACGAGGTGAGAAGGAGGCAAAGGGCTGTTCTGCTCTGTTCTCTCTGCCACTGGGGCTGAGAACCACTAGGTGCTGCACAGAAGCGTGAGGAAAAAAGCTCAAGTCGTGTGAAGTGCCCCAGGGTTGTGGGAGTGTGAGGTCAGGTTGAGTTCCTCTCTCCTGATGTGTCCTGTCAGGCTTCTCAGAGAACCTGGTTCCTCCTCCCATGCCTCTGTGTGAGTTCCAGGCCCTCTGGTCAAGCTCATGGGGCATTCACATCCCTTTCTTTGCCCTTCAGGGTGACTCGGAGCCCCGGTACAAGTGCCACGTCTGTGACAAGTGCTTCACACGTGGGAACAACCTCACTGTCCACCTCAGGAAGAAACACCAGTTCAAGTGGCCCTCAGGGCATCCTCGCTTCAGGTACTGCCTGTCCTGAACCCCTCCAGTGCCAAAGGCACAGCAGGGCTGGATGGCAGCTCCAGCAGCTGGGCAGAGATTAGGGACAAGGGCAGCAGTGGTGCCAGCACAGCTACATCTGGTGGGGCTCTTCTGAGTTTGGCAGGGGGCTGCTCCAGGTGGACCACTCTAGAGAGAGAAGCTTTCTCTAGGAAACTCCAAAGGGTTTCCAGAGCCTGAAAGCTGGGAGGGGAAGGGGATGGACTAAAACTGCTCCCAGTGAAACAGTGGTGAAAGGAGGTGGGGCTTGGGAGGTGACAGAGGCCTGGCAAAAAGCTCAGGAGCTGGTGGGTGGACTTTTAGGGGTAGGGGCTGAAGAGGTTTTATCCTAGATACCACTGAGCTTTGCAACCTAGAATATAGAGCCCTGTCCTTGGCTGCTGCTTCAGGCTGCTGCCTGTCCCTTGGGAAGGGGCTCCTCTCTCTGCCTGTCTCTGCTCAGGTACAAGGAACACGAAGATGGCTACATGAGGCTGCAGCTGGTGCGTTACGAGAGCGTGGAGCTGACAGAGCAGCTGCTGAAGGACAGGGAGAAGCAGGGAGAGGCACTGGAGGGCCCCACCGAATGTGTGGTGCTGTCTGAAGGTGAGGGCAACCTGCAGGGCATCATCCTGGAGGCCCCAGCAGATGCTTCCCTGGTGGAGAACAGCACTGCAGAGCTGCAGGAGGCCCCGCTGTGCCCAACAGCTTGTTCTGCTGCCCACCCTGAGCCAGCACGGCCAGGTGCCTTCCCAGGAGCCTCCCCGCAGGAATCCAGCTCCCCAGCCAACCCCATCATCCGTGTGGTGAACAGGACCAATGAGCAGGGGGAGAGTGAGACTGTGTACTATGTGATGGCCAGCACCTCCTCAGAGGAGCAGGGGGCAGCAGCCAGTGGGCTGGCCATGGAGCTGGAGGAGAACGTCATGGACCGTCTGCAGAAGACAGCTGAGGAGCTGGGCATCCAGATCGTGTGAGGTGCTCCCCTGCCTCTGCAGGTGGAGAGCTTGGGCCTCCGTGGGGTTTTGCTGGTGGAGGAGGTTGGGAAGTGCTTGAAGGAGAGGACTGAGCTTGTCCTCACCTCCCTGCAGGTGGCCAGCTTCCCCCTGCTTCCCTGCCTGTGGGTCTGGGCAGCATGGGGAGAGGGGAAGGACATGTTTGTCCCCATTGTGGAGCAAGTGAGCTGAGCTGAAACGAGATGTCTGTCTCCTCCTTTTGGGGATTAGGGACTAGCAAGCCTCTCCCACCATCCCGGGAAGTTTGGCCTGACACAGGCCTTTCCCTCTTGGTCACTCTGGGGATGTGGTCCCTGCTTCTGTGCAGCTAAGTTGTCAGCCTGGTCCTCAGCTGGGCTCTCCCCAGGCAGGGTGGTGTGCTGAGCAGACACTTGCTGAAGGCTCTTCCCTGGTCCTTAGCAGGCCCCTTCACCCCCATCCATACGTCCAAGGGATGGTGTGTTCCACCTCTGCCTTCACCAGCACTTCCCTGCACACCCTCCTCCCTAGATCATTCAGCTGGTGCTGGTGGTGGCACCATTGCTCCCATCACATCGCACTGGTCTCTGGGAGGACAGGGCTTAGGGGTCCTGCCAAACTGGGAGATTGGGAGCTTCTCACTGTTTTTGTCCTTCCCTGGGTTTCCTCCCCACATTGGGGCTTGGGGTCCTGGCTGAGCAAGGTGTACTTTGGCAAGACAAATAAAAGTCAGGCTGCCAGGCCAACCAGTGTCTGCTGCCTCCTTCAGCCCTGCCAGGGGGTGTTGGGCACTGAGGAGCTGCCAGGACCTCTTGACATGTTCTCCTTGGTGCAGCTGACAACTAACTGCCTTGGAAAGTGTATTGTTCCATGTCCCCAGGGGTGACCCTGGGAGGCCAGCTTTAGTTTTGAGCTCTAGCTCTGTCCTCTCCTGACAGTGGGTTTGCTTTTTGCTGCCTCCTTCAGGGCGTGAAGGTCAGGTGCCTGCAGTGTCCTTTTTCTGAACGCAGAGACGAGGCAGGGCTGGTGAGCAGAGCCAGCCTGCCCTTTGCAGAGGGATTTGGATGAGGCCAGTGTGGAGCTGGTGTCCCTGGAGTGCCCCTTGCCTTGTGTGTGGAGGTGAGACACAGGTGGAGGAGCCCTGCTGATCTGGGCTCCTCACTGACTTTTCCTCCCCATCCCTTGTTCCTTTCTCAAGCAGTTCAGCAAAAGCTGCTGGAATTCCAAGTTGCTGGAGGGAATCACTTTCTGGCTAAACCCTTGGCCATCTGCTCACTTTCTAATTGTGGGTGTGATGGGTGTGCCTTGGGGTGGGGTGATGAGGGCAGCCCCTTATCCTGTGCCCTGCCTGAGGGGCAGCAGGTCATAGAATCATGGGATGGTTTGGGTTGGAAGGGACCTTAATGACCATCTAGATCCAAACCTAGACCAGGTTGCTCAGAGTCCCACCTGCCCTTCAACACTGCCAGGGATGGGGCAGCCACAGCCTCCAGGGCTGGTGAGCAGAGCCAGCCTGCCCTTTGCAGAGGGATTTGGATGAGGCCAGTGTGGAGCTGGTGTCCCTGGAGTGCCCCTTGCCTTGTGTGTGGAGGTGAGACACAGGTGGAGGAGCCCTGCTGATCTGGGCTCCTCACTGACTTTTCCTCCCCATCCCTTGTTCCTTTCTCAAGCAGTTCAGCAAAAGCTGCTGGAATTCCAAGTTGCTGGAGGGAATCACTTTCTGGCTAAACCCTTGGCCATCTGCTCACTTTCTAATTGTGGGTGTGATGGGTGTGCCTTGGGGTGGGGTGATGAGGGCAGCCCCTTATCCTGTGCCCTGCCTGAGGGGCAGCAGATCATAGAATCATGGGATGGTTTGGGTTGGAAGGGACCTTAATGACCATCTAGATCCAAACCTAGACCAGGTTGCTCAGAGTCCCACCTGCCCTTCAACACTGCCAGGGATGGGGCAGCCACAGCTTCCCTGGGCAACCTGGGCCAGGCTCTCACCACCCTCACACTCCACAATTCCCTCCTCATGTCTCACCTCAATCTCCCTCTTCCAGTTTTCATCCCTTCCCCCTTGTCCTCTCCCTCCCTGCCCTTGTCCCAAGTCCCTCCCCAGCTTTCCTGGAGCCCCTTCAGGCACTGGAAGCTGCTCTAAGGTCTCCCTGGAGCCTTCTCATCTCCAGGCTGAACACCCCAACTCTCCCAGCCTGGCTCCAGAGCAGAGCTGCTCCAGCCTCTCATCTCTGTGGCCTCCTCTGGCCTCTCTCCAGGAGCTCCATGTCCTTCTGACGTGGGGGCTCCAGGCCTGGACATAGAGCTCCAGGTGGGATCATGCTCTGACCATGCAGGGTGAGGAGCAGGGATGGAGCAGGCAGAGCTGCCCACTCAGGCTGTGTGGGAAGGTTTCCTGGGGCTGGATCCATGTGTGAAGGGCAACGTGCCCCCCAGAACGCCTCAGCCCAGGGGTGTGCAGGCAAAGCCTCCCTGAGGGTAGTGAAATGCAGCTGGGCACCTTGTGCTGGTGGTGAGGGAGGCTGGCAGGCAGCTGGCTGGCCCTGCAGCCCTGGGACAGCAGCCCAGGGCTGCCAGCATGCGACAGGGCCTTGGCCAGCCTTCCCAGCCCTGCCTGGCCCTGGCTCCCTGCTACTTGGCAGAGCTGGGCTGAAAATACCTTCGAGAGAAGGGCCCCCAGCCAAGGTTGCATTTGCAGCACTTCCAGCTTTCCAACACACGGGCCTCGGGGCTCTGGTGCCAAAGGCTCTGCCTGTGTTATCCTAGTTTCTCCTGCATGGCAGAGTGCTGGGTGGTGGGAGCAGAGGTGGTGGCTGGGAGGACCTGTCCCTTTAAACCCCGGGTCCAGGGAGGGTAATCTGCCAGGGATTAGCTGCTGGGGAGAGGATTGGCATTAAAGGGAATGTCTCCTCCCTTCCCCTGCCTCCTACAGCATGTCCTGTGTGTATAGAAAATAAGTTCACTTTCTCCTGGGCAAGCAGAGAGGGGGTCTTTGATTTGAGGGGCAAAGGGGAGGAGGGCAGAGTGTGTGTTATGGGACTGGGCCTCCTCTTCCTCTGCATGTTGGCCACACTGGTCTCCTGCCAGGACCCAGAAGGTAACAGGGTGTTGGGGGGAAAAGGGGCTCACAGGGTGCCCTGGAGCTGCTGGCACCTGGCTGGACAGGTCTTCCTCAGCAAGGAGGAAGACTTGTCACATCCCTATGCCAAGGCTTGGCCCGGGAAGCAGGAGCTGGCTTGGAGAAGAGCTAGGGGCTGCTGGTGGCTGCAGCCCTCACTGCAGCAGGGATCAGTGGGTGGGCTGAGAGGATCCTTTGCTGGGCTTGTGCCACCTCCGTGTGGGTCTCTGAGGGCTGGGGAGCTGGTGGGAAGGGTGGTCCTCAGCCCCCAGCCCTGCTCTGCCTTGCTCCCTGCAGCACCAGGAGACCTGGACACGTACTGGTCAGGCACAGCACCCATCTGCCTGGGGGGCTGCAAGGGGAGGCACAAGGAGCTGAAGAGGAGCCAGTGTGGGAACGGCAGCTGCTGCTGGCTGGGCTATAAATCCTTCTGCAGAGGTACAGCCAGAGGGGAGAGTCCCAGGGGGCCCTCAGGATGGTTGCAGGGCCTGTTTTGTGCCACACACACACGAATAGAGTCTCACCAACAGCCTGGTCCTCGGGCCAGGGGGAGCACAGCCCAGGGCAACCCCGATCCTCCCCCAGAGCCCACAGACCCATCTGGCTGCTCCCCCTTGGGCTGCTGTTTGCCCAGCAGGCTGCACAGGGTGCTCATCCCCATGCTGCCCACTGGAACTTTCCCTGTCCCCAGTGAACTGCGGGCGACCAGAGGCAGACCCCAGCTCGGTGGTGTTCGGCAACGACTGGTGGGTGGGCTCGGCCGTGCGGTACCGCTGCCGGCCCGGCTTCCTGCTGCTGGGGGACCCTGCCAGCACCTGCCAGCCCAGTGGCCACTGGACCCCCAGGCCCACCTGCCTCCGTGAGTACCCCTGAGCTCAGGGTGAGGGGGCTTGTCGGGCTGGGTGGGCACCGTGTGATGAGCTCTGGCCCCGCTGTCCCAGGGATCTGCCTGCGGGGTCGGGTTGAGATCAACCCGCGGGACCTCGGCGGGAGCTGCTCCTCCTCTTGCAGCAGCCAGGCCCTCCAGGGAACCCTCCCCAGCCATGGCTGCCTCCAGATCTCAGCCTGTGTCACCAAGAGCCCGGGCTGGGCCCGCTGGTTCCTGCGCTGGGAGGTCTGTGAGTGTGACTGCCACGTGCCGTGCGACGGTGAGTCCTGGCGGGACGTGCTCTGGGATGGACCCGTCTCGTGGGAAGGGAAGGGCTGGCACTGGGGGCTGGGGGCTGCCACACAGCTCAACGTTTGCCATTCTTGCTCTCCTCACAGCTTCCTCTGGGTAGAGCTGGGCTGTCTGGGGATGTGGCCACCAGCACCATGGCAGGGGAGGCTTCCACCTTGGATGTCTTGCTTCCCTTTGCTGCACGTGTCCATCACTGTGCTCCTTCCATGAGCTCCACCAGTCCCAAGGCTGTCATCTGAGAGAAGAGGAGATGTTCAGGACTCTCTCTGGTGGGGCTGCCTTCCTGCCCAGCCCCATCCCATGACTCTCCAGTGGCAGGGGATGCTCTGTGAGCTGCAGGTGCTGGGAAGCTGCATGTGTTTCCTTCAGCTTAGTCTCCAGAGCTCACAATCCAGCCCTGACCAGTTAAGAAGGAAGGGGCTTTAGTACCAAGGGGGGTTCACTCCCAGGCTCTGCTTGTGTCCCCTTGCAGGGAAGCAGGGCTGTCTTGTGCTGCACAGGGAGGAGCTGGGCTAAGGGTGAGTCCCCTGGGGATGGAGTCTCCATGCTGAACACAAGGCAGACTGGATGAGTCTGACATGACTTTTGCTCTGTGAGATGACTTAAGGCCTCCAAGTGGAGCTTGGCTCCATGACTGCCTCCTTGTGCCCTCCCTCTGGGCTGCCCTGCCCCACAGTCCCTCCTCTGCCAAGGGGCCAAATCCCA